CTGTCAGCCATTTAGTTTTCTTAGTCACAAAATGAAACGGGTACAACAACGGACCAAGAGGAATAAACATACAAATGAAATTTGAAAATTATCCAAACAGTACTTCTCCAGAAATAGTGGTAACAAAGTATTACTGTGAAAATCAAAGATGGCAATGCTGTTTTTGAAAAAGTCCCAAAATGGGACAAAGCATAACTAGGGACAAGACGAAAATAAAAAATTTGGAATTAATCCAACATGTACTCCTCCAGCAAAAGTGATAAAAAGAAAGGATGAAGGACTAATAAATAGACGATGAGAGATGAACTATGGATGAAGGACGATTTGAATAGCCCACAAACTGATGATGGTTGGCTAAAAATGGTCAAAGCAGTTAATATATGAAATGATCTACATAACGTTATAATCATATTCTGATACGAAAGTCACAAGGCTTCAGAAGTGGCTATCACATCATCACAACACATATAAATATGTTCATCGACATGATAATATTTATAGATACAAATCAACTGTGAATATTTTCCTTTGATAAAGTTTGGATGCCAACCAATAACCTGATCGCTGCTCTGAAATGTCTCGGAACATGATCATAGGTGTTATTTATTAACTCATAATCTTACATATCTTTTGAATCATTTCCACCGAAAAAACATCACCTGCAAAAAACATCAAATGATGTTTATTCCTGACAGTGTGAGCCACTCGGGTAAAGTTTACGGTGTACAAAGCGCTTGATTGGGGCAATTACCATGTTCACACCGTAACAAGCCCTACAGGTAGCAGAAGATGTGCCAAAATTACACTTCATTAATGGCAGGAACACCTGATTTTCACTTTGATACAGTGTTAATATAACATCAGAAAATCTTATCTCTAGTTATGAAGAGATGTACTATCTTACCATTCTTGACCTGTGGCTCCTCCTGGTGTTCAAACTTGGCAACAAACATCGTTATATCAAAGCGTAACAGATCAAGTCAGTTAGAGTGTATTTTTGAAGTTTTTACATCTTTCAAAATTTTTTTGTTCATAAATAAGAAAATGCAAATGGATTGCTATATCTTGTTCCAGCCGATTTTTTCTTTCTTTCTTTTTTGCATTTCTTTTTTTTTTCTTTTGTAAAACTTTATGCATGTTTTAAATAAGGGAAGTGGAGCAAGTGAAAGTATCTTTAAGACATGAAGTGATGAACCAATTAAGTATTTTATATGTTTTATTAACTCTGGCAGATTTCCTGCAGTAAAGTCCACAGTTATACTACCTACAATAAAGAAAAATGAAATTCTGGGATAGCTGCTACACTTTCCTGTCCTGCTCTCTAAGGACTTAATAGTGGATAAGTAATATGTACCTGCCATCTATCAAAATCTACCAGACAACAGACAGCAACAAAATACACTACATCTATGTATCATTGCATTATCTAGGTAACGCTAAATCTGCTGTGTTTCTGGAAACAAGGCTAAGATTAAAAGTAACCTTCAGGAGTCATTTGCATTCCAAAATATCTAATTCTCATTTTTGAACAAATTTTTAATTTTGAGGCATCTCTTCCTTATACAAGGGACAATCCATTGGATTTAAATATGAATCTTAGAATACTTCATTATTTCTATTTTTGAGGGCTTTGCAAGCACGGTCAAAAACAACATAATCCACCTCATTGTATAGGTAATATCCATTGCAGATTTTAAATATACAAAGTACACCAAAAATAACAATGCTCCTTAAAATGAGAAAACAATTCTATTGGTGATGATAAACAAAGGGCTGTTGGAAATATAACTGTCAGATATAATGTGCCTCAGATAAAGGGCGAGTTAAAAAAATGGCCGTAATTACTTCCATACTGACATCAATTAAGCCAGAATACACTAATTATAGAACATATTGAGATAATCCTGTACATTGTGTGGTCTTCTTCATAGACACCAGACCCCGCAAATCAGGCATACCACTATCTTAAATACCATCACAAATCTGCATCTGTTTCCCTGACAACATCAGGTTTTTTTTATTTCACCTTTAAAACCCTCAGGTGTCCATCAAACTGTATTTCCTTATTTGGAATTTTCCCACATCAATAGTGACAACAAATGCTTGATAATGGCACAAAAAACAGATCTTTCTCACTGTTTAGTAATGGTTCTTAAGTTGCAATTTATCCATAATATGACTTGTACATCTGCCTGTGGGTGTAACTTAACCATGAAAATTAAACATGCTCCAAATTCAGCTATATACTTGATGAATTTTTACAATATTTCATTCAAAATTCAACAATACAACACATACATATAATATGTATGGTCTTAGAGCTGATATTAATTCCATTCCCAAATGCATATAAAAGGAAATGAATGTTCGGAGCTGGAAACACCTTACTCGCATGAAATGAACAATAATAAAGTTTAACAATTAACATATATATATTGGTAAACCAGGATGCCTAAATATCTTTATATTATTATTTTTTATGAAAATTTAAACCAAAAGAAAATATAATACTATCTATACATACATTCATTTATAGCATGCTTTGAATGTCGCACACTTTTATTTCATATCTACAAAATAATAACAGGTTCATGTCTTTTATAAAATTTTGTCATTCTTTTGTGCTAGAAAGTGAAGAAAATCTAGAAGTGAGACCACCAACCCCGTGGGTCTGATGGAATGTGGCAGTCTTATGCTTTAGTGTATAGATATTGATTACTGCTTCCTGTTGTTCCAGCAATGTAAACACATAGAGAAATCAATATGATAAAAGTATCCCCACATCCATAAGGGGCTCCATCACAGATCTACAAATCTCCCACTAAAAGTATATTCAAATGAATTTCTTTACCTTTTGATGCTAGATAAGTACACGAGAGGAAAACAAGAGGCTTTCATTACTTATAACAGAAGCAATTGTATAAGGAAATTCCCTGGTTTTTATTTTTGTTTAACTTCACATGCTGAAGTTTACTGTCATTTACTGTCAACTGTTTTTTTTCATTTGGCAGTGGATGGTTTATACTTAGCAACAGATGTGTAGGGTTTATGATATTCTTATACAGAAGGTCACCTACTTGCTGGTGACATGAACATTTCAACCATACTGTTTCTAGACTCAAGTCCAACCTCAGAACATATAAATAACTTCTAATTGTGTAACAAGTAAATATGCTATATTTGTGGTCAAAATGTTTTTCTCTCCTTTGGCAAAGAGGCAAACAAACTCCATGTGCAAGAAAAATGTGTGGATGAAATGAACCCTGCAATGATCAATTAAATGATTTTATCTGCTACATTTTCCTCAAAACTACTGCACAAACATTGACTGATTTCAAAATCATAAGCAAAAAGGAATAGAGGATTGTGTAAAAAAACATCAGTTTTCTAATGAAGTGAAGTCTACCTATTGACTACAATAGACGAATCCACATTCACTACAGCCAAGAGTTATCCCCCTTCCTGTCAAACAGTAAATCTGACACCATGAGTATTACAGTAAGACTACAAATTCTCACCTGTAAAACACGTTCCATAAATGGAGATACCATTACATCCTGTCTCTTTTCCTGATTTAATCCATGCTACCCAGTCACTATCCCATCAAAGACAGTTGTCCCTATAGATCTGCCCTAGATTGTACTTCTCACCAGTAATGGGCAGTGATACATAAATAGCTCGCTCTCCCCCCTATTAGGCTGCCTACAATCTGTTTATGACTATACAGAGACAAGGCCCCTCCATTACCAGGCGGCAGGGCTGATCCACTTTCCTCCTGATTATCTATATATTGGGTTTACTTCATTAGTCTCGGAATTACTCCCAATCAGCAACAGCACTAGTCCCGCAGAGGAAAGACCCATGCACAAATCAGTTTATATACCCGGTGGATATATGAATTCCTATCTGGTGATATTTTCTTGTGTATTTTAATGATATAATAGAAAAGTTGTGTTCAGTCCTTGTTTGATCACTGAGAATCAACAATATAACCTTAGACATTGTCTACAGGGTCTGGTATAGTGAAGCTGTAAATCTTAATCTATTCCCATTGATCTTCAATTAGAAAATACATCAATGTCCCAACCCATTTATATTGATAGAGATCACACAGAGATATAGGTCTTAAGGTGCTTTAATGTGACAAAGGTGGAGTCAATTAGAGAGGCATGTAGCTGTAATAGAGACAGGCCCAACAATTACTAGTATATGTTGAGAAATCTCATTGATCAATCAATACAGGGTTACCTCCCTTTCTATAACCCACAAGTAAAATGCAATAACACCAAAAAAAAGAATAATTTGAAATACCATGCACATGACTAACAAAACTTACATTTCCGTAATCCAATTTTCCACTCTTAATATTTTGTAATAAATTTTCACACAGTGGACACCTGAACATGTTTAATGTAATATGTTTGACCTGTTCTAGACAAAAAATCTAAAATGGTTAACATAACAACCACATTGATTGATTAATATGTCATAAGGATGGGCTGCTAGTCATTTTTATAGATCAATGGCTATATGCCAGAAGACCGGATCTCTCTTTAGGAAACTGTGGGTGTTGATGTGCTGACGCAACATCCCATGTCTGAATCCATATATTGATTGAAGTTGTAGAAAATAGAGCTCCTGATATCATGTTTTAATTTCTGCCACTATGTAATCAGTGCTATACTGCATTCAAGTTTTCTGGGTATTATCAGAGCAGCAAGAGTTCTTTCCCCTAACATTGGTATTAGAACTTGGTAAAGTTGCAAGAGTTACCTCCCCTGAAAGTAATAATTTTGGTGAACATGATGTATGTAACCTACATAACCTACATCAAATTTTTGTTTGTTTTTTTTAAGGACATTATTAATCTGGAAATAAAGCAATGTAGAAGACCTTCATTATCGCCAAAACAGAATTATTGTCTGAATGCTGTGATTAGAACACTCATCAAGATATTTGAATTGAAGATGTAATGAAAAATGAAAGTAGTAGGAACTTACCAGTGGTTTCTGTTCTGGTTGCTGCTCCCTTACTGGCTGGTGCTGCTGTAAAGATTGCTGAAGGGTAACCTGCTCCAACTGCTGACCAAGTATTTCCCAGTTCATCTGTGGTAAAGCAGTTTCTATATTATACACATCAAAATCACCTTCACTTTCGTCATTGTTGGAGTTATCTCCCCTGTCAGTCACATCTAAATTATCTCCTCCATTGCTATTCTCCTGTTCCAGGTCCCTACTGCGTTTTGCAACTCTACCTCTGAAAAAAGTTTCTGTTGTGGATATATTTGGTGGCAGATTATCGTTAGAGTTATTTGACCGACTTGTTGCAGTTGTCAATGGCCGGCTATCCCCTTCATTGCCATTGTTTATATTGCTATTTAGATCTTTGGACATGAGATTGTTCACCCCATTGTTGAGTTGCACAAATGAGTCTGAGGGTTCACTGGGAGTATTCATTTCTGAAGAGAGTTGTGATGTTGGAGCAGAACTAGTGTCACTGCAAGAACTCTCAGAAAACTGTTGACCTTTATGGAGGTCAAATGGTAATATATCACAATTTACTTTTTTCAATTCTGCAAATTCTTGGGCAATGCTTAAAAAGTTCAGTTTTCTGATTCGTCTGCTAAACTCCTCATCAGATTCAAACGGTTTTCTTACCACTTTGCTGGACGTGTTTCTGGAAGATTGTGGAATGTTGCCTTCTGCTAACTGTTGACGCTCTACAATAGTTACTTCACTGTCAGCTAGGTCCTTTAGAGGAGCAGAAAACTCCGAATAATCTGATGACAGCGAATCACTATCGTGTTCATACCGAACTTTGTTAACAAGTCTGTGTGCAGGGGAGGTAAACAGTGGTCCAGGGGAATACTCTTTATCCTCGGAGGAACTACGTTTTTCCTCTGATGACTCACGCTTATCCAGACCCTCTGCATGAGCCACATTCTCCAGGACAACTTTGATATCCTCACTCCGCGACAAAGAGTCCGGGTTTGTCTGGGTCATCATCTGTTTCTCACTTCCATCATGTAATATTTTAAGTTCCTCAAGCTCTTCAGCACAATTTTCATCCGAATCACTATCAGCCAAATGTTTTCTTTTAGAGTAGGATCGCCATGCTCTTTGTATACTAAAAGTACAAGAAAATAACCAATTAAATTAGATAGTGATACTCTTCTGGACCCATGATGACCACGGGAAAACGAAAATTCAGAGATCAAAGAGGGGAACTTACATATGAAATTTGAGAGAAATCAATTCAGTGCTTCTAAAGAAATAGCATTAACAAACTTTACTAGGTGAAATTCAAGATGGCCAACTTTAGCCCATTTTGTTTTTCTGATCAGTCCCAAAATCAAAGACATAACTAGGGACAAAGGGAAACCTACACACATGAAACTAGTGATCTATTCACTAGATCTCAATAAATAATGATAACAAACTTTCAAAGTGAAAATCCAAGATGGCTGTCTGTTAGTGATTTTGTTTTTCTGATCCGTTCCAAAATCGAAAGAGTACAACCAGGTACCATGGGGAACCTAAATATGAAGTAATGTAGCAGATCCAGTAATTTTACCAATCAAGAGATGAAACCGCCAGCTAGAGCATCATCACTTCATAACGCAGTGTGACTAGTTACAACTATGGTCTCATGATTACAATGACCAAATATGTGATTGTCTTCAGAGGCAGACTTGTGGAGGAGTGAGTAGTTCATCTGGGCTAATATTAGCCACAGCTAGTGAGAGTTTTCTTTTAAGAAAGCGGTAGAATGTCTGACTTATGATCCAAACAGTCACTTGTTCGAATCCCCAGCAGGTGCTGTGTATTTTTCATGACTCCTTCCTATTACAAAACTATAAAGCCAAATGTGGCGAGCTCCATCTCCAGCCAATGAAGGCATTGAAATGAAGAGTAACTTCTGTTACAAATATTTTGACTTTCTTTATCATTATACCTATCTCAATATTCCTACATATTTGTTTATCTCTTTTGTAGAATAGAATGGATGTACATGGAAAAAACAAACATATACTGCATTGTTTTAAAGTTTGTTTCTAACAAACATATACTGTATTGTTTTAAAGTTTGTTTCTAACAAACATATACTGTATTATTTTAAAGTCTGTTTCTCCACTAGAGTAATATCCCTTGCCATATCTTCTCTGTTTGAGTCAATCATTGATATCCGAGTCAGAATAAGATCAGCTGACCAACACAGAATCTTTGATAACACATTATCTGTTTACAATCAGCTAAACCTGTACACGTAATTAACCTGATTAAAATAGACTACCAGTGTAAAAGTACCACTAGTTATAGACAAATCAACAGGTCTAACATGCTGTTTTAATCTTGGGTATCACTTCAAAAATCATAATATTGTTAAATCAATCAAACATTCATCATAAGCTGACAGGAACTTGTTAGAAATCTTTTATCAGTCAAGAACTGATAGGGAACTTATATGAAACCATTTGTCTACCATAAGCTGATGGGGACTTGTTAGAAACCATTTGTCTACTATAAGCTGATGGGAACTTGTAAAAAACCATTTGTCTACTATAAGCTGATGGGGAACTCGTTAGAAACCATTTGTCTACCATAAGCTGATGGGGAACTTGTAAGAAACCATTTGTCTACCATAAGCTGATTGGCAACTTGTAAGAAACTTTTTGTCTACCATAAGCTTATGGGAACTTGTTAGAAACCATTTGTCTACCATAAGCTGATTGGCAACTTGTAAGAAACTTTTTGTCTACCATAAGCTTATGGGAACTTGTTAGAAACCATTTGTCTACCATAAGCTGATGGGGAACTTGTAAGAAACCATTTATCAACCATTAGCTGACATGAAACTTACAAGAAACCATAAGCTGATAATACACAACTAATTTTGGTAAGGACATAGCAGAGCAATCCCAAAAGTAACGATGCTATTATAGCTTCCTTAAATCATAAATTTTCATTTCAAGGTCAAATAATGACCAACCACCGACAGTCATGTAAAACATTTTCAAAACTCATTAATATTATCTAGTTGTCACAACACACCTATATCATAAAGGATTATCTTGTTACCACAATATAACTGTCTAAAAGGATTATCTAGTTACCACAATATGGCTGTCAAAAAGGATTATCTAGTTACCACAAGATAACTGTCAAAAAGGATTATCTAGTTACCACAATATAACTGTCATAATGGATTATCTAGTTACCACAATATAACTGTCATAATGGATTATCTAGTTACCACAACATATCTATATATATCACTATACCTATAAATTACACCAATGTTTACCTACCTACAACTTATATACCTACCCACTGTCCACTCATCATATCTATCTATCTATATATATATCACTATACCTATAACCTACACCAATGTTTACCTACCCACAACTTATATACCTACCCACTGTCCACTCATCATATCTATCTATATATACCTATAACCTACACCAATGTTTACCTACCTACAACTTATATACCTACCCACTGTCCACTCATCATATCTATCTATATATACCTATAACCTACACCAATGTTTACCTACCTACAACTTATATATACCCACTGTCCAAATCATATCTATCTATATATACCTATAACCTACACCAATGTTTACCTACCTACAACTTATATACCTACCCACTGTCCACTCATCATATCTATCTATATATACCTATAAATTACACCAATGTTTACCTACCTACAACTTATATACCTACCCACTGTCCACTCATCATATCTATCTATATATATATCACTATACCTATAACCTACACCAATGTTTACCTACCTACAACTTATATACCTACCCACTGTCCACTCATCATATCTATCTATATATACCTATAACCTACATCAATGTTTACCTACCTACAACTTATATACCTACCCACTGTCCACTCATCATATCTATATATATATACCTATAACCTACACCAATGTTTACCTACCTACAACTTATATACCTACCCACTGTCCACTCATCATATCTATCTATATATACCTATAACCTACACCAATGTTTACCTACCTACAACTTATATACCTACCCACTGTCCACTCATCATATCTATCTATATATACCTATAACCTACATCAATGTTTACCTACCTACAACTTATATACCTACCCACTGTCCACTCATCATATCTATCTATATATACCTATAACCTACACCAATGTTTACCTACCTACAACTTATATACCTACCCACTGTCCACTCATCATATCTTTCTTCATCTTTAAACAATTAAGATTCAATATCTATCCACCACAATCTTTCAGCTAACTTATAGACAGAATTGTCGTTGATCTGTTAAAGACAATGGAAACTAAAATTATGTATAAAATTGTAAATGAATGCAAACCAATTGTTAATTCTGGGTGTATTGATGATTCTCAGGTCCTTGGCCTCCATTGCTCTACACGTAAGTAGCTGGCCCTCTCTACACCATGATAATTACACACTGGCTAGAATGTGCTTTCCTAGAACAGGCAATGATGACTCATCCCCTGTCTAACGGAATTCTGTCTGCCTGTTGCCTTGGAAACCACATCCAAGATGGATTGACTCTATCAATGTTTACTTTATACAAAAATGATAAAAAGATATTCAAACAAGTTCTGAAGTTTCATTTTCACTTTAAATCACAAAGATAAAAAAAAACCCAATCATTTAAAAATGTGTAGTACATTAGCCAGTCTGATCTCTCATCACCTATTGATCATCCAACTCATTACAAACCCCTCAGGTAATATATATATCAATAGCAATAGTGCCTGGCCATACATCCTTCAGTATCAGGGAAAGATACATTTGGAAGTTGGAGTGAGTTATTTATATATATACAAGAATTACATAAAATAATGTCTCACCTGTCCCAATTATTAGTACTGTCATAGTCCTAAAAATACACAGAAATTTTTAATCTCCGGCTTAATTTTAATCAATCGTGTTTTTTTCATGTTTGAAGACTTCATGCATTGTACAGCATGTAATAATTTTTTTGCAAATTGCAAATTTGCTGTTTTTACCATTTTTACATCAAAAATATCAATTCTTCCTAAAGAGAAAGAGAATAATTTATCAAATATTTTAAAGTACTTTTTTAGATGTGACTTCAGACCATCACAGACCATCATGACAAAATAGTGATTTCTCAACATCTGAGTTGAGAAGTATGCACTTAAATGTAACTGCTTTCTAGATTTGATTGAAATAGCTCTTGCACTTATGAGAAACTGTCCAAAACACTGAAGTTTTTAAGTATCCTCAAATTTCAAAGATGCTGAAACATAAAATCTGAAAGCTATTTTGTAAATGATGAATGTGTTGAGGTGTCCACCATTTAATCAAGCTATATACTAAGTTCAGCTAAAGTTGGATTCATACCTTTTGAGCGACAGATTTAAAATAAAAACTTTACAGTGAAATGTTGATAGCCACACTGTACATGTCCTCTGTGTGGCCAGAAACGGAACACCTCCATAGCCTCACTCCCACAATTTTTTGTTGCGGGTGAATAAAAAACTTTAATATTTATATAAATTTGGTGGATTTCTAAATGTTTATCATCATTTACACCCCTTTTTAAGATTAATACTTCATTTCAAACTATTAATAACTAAATTGGATATTACTCAATCTCTTTAACGTACAAATATCAGTACAATTTTACTATGACAGAGATCAAACAAACAATGATCCCCCGATTAAATAATTTGATCCCTAATTCTACCTGTATACTGGCTGGTTCAAACAGTTTTGAAAACTTCTGACTCTGTGGACATTATCTGTGTTCATGTTTCTGATATCAATAAATTCAATACCTACATTTAAATATCCATGCCATTGATTTGCTGAAACATCATGGAGGATCAGACTTTTATGATTTAGACTTGACATCCAGAAATCAGACACTAACGACTTTGATATCATTACTGTGGTCACCGTGATGTCTACATTTAAGATATTGATTCCGGAAACCTGATATCTATATTCAGACATTCTGATATTGGGGAGTCCCACGCTTTAGACATCTACTGCCTGTCTCCACATATGACGTCCATGTTCATGGCACTCTGGCATACATGATACACACCTGAGAC